CGGCGGGGCGGCCTGAGGCGGCGGCCGCCGGGCGGAGCTGGGGGGGATGGAGAGGAGGAGGAGGAGGGAGAGGGTCTCCCGGGCGGCCCTGCCCGCGGCAGCGCGGGTGGGTTTGTGCCTCACGAACTCACCGTGGGGTGGTGTCCGCCCTCCGCGGCCGGAGCGCGGCACGGGGCTGTGGAGAGGTCCCGCGGGCTGGCCCGCCTTTGCCCGGTGAGGCCCCTGCTGCTTCCCGGGGAGCAGCCGGCTTGGGGGCAGCAGCAAGCGGGGCTCTGGCTGCCGTGAAGCCGAGTGGTGGCATGAGGGGGCACAGGGGGATTTTGGGGTTCACAGCTGCTGGCGTGGAAGTCAGAACCTGCCCTTTGCTGGTGCAGGGTGTGCGGGACGGGGAGGAAGGAGAAGGGGGTAGGAGTGAGGAGAGAAGGCCGGGTTTTGGGTGGCCGTGGTTTCCACGCGCTGACCAATTTGCCCAGGTTAGACACCATCTCTCTGCTCCCCTCTCCATGAACCTTTCCCGAGGGGGCCGAGGGTGCCAGCGTGGGGACACACGTGACACATGGGACACTGCTCGTGGGGCTGGAGGGTGCCAGGGCGCAGTTGGCATGGAGACGGCCAGGCTTCCACGGGTGGCTGCCGGTCTGCGCTGTGAGGTGTGGGACGGTGGGTGCACCCCGGTGTGGAGACAACCTTCTCACGTCAGCCAAGAGGCGATCTTCATTCTGTTTGTGTGCCTAAACCAGGACTTGGGGTCTATGTTTGGCTTGCTCCACCGGACACTGAAGTACGTCAGGTAGAGTTAAGAAGCCTCCAGGAGATGGAGAAAATCCTGTTGGACGGAAGGGAAGTGGGAGATGTTTCCAGCTCCCGATACTCTCAAGTGTACTCGAAGGAAATAGAATATGTATTGCCTCGGGTATCTCTACACACATTATTGCACCGATTGTGTGCAGTACTCGGGGAGTACTTGGGAGTACAGGATCTGAGAGAGCAGTTCTGCCAGTGGTAATCTGCTGTTTGCAAGCCATGGGCGAGGAGGAGGCCTCAGTTTCTGCTCTGAACACTGAGAGATGCTGATACTTACCCCTAAAAGGGGTGAATTTGATTTGCAGAGTGATGGAGAATCAGTATCTGCAGTTGGTACCACAGGAGCTATAGCATTGTGCGTACCTGCAAAAGCATAAAGGCATGTATTACTGCACATATGTGGAGGTCCCAGGATTCCATTTGGCTTGACATAGGTTTGTTTTTCACACATGCTCAACAGGCTTTTCATTTCGCACATTAAAAATATAGTAAGAAAGAATGAATAAAGTCTCCCAACCTTGGCTCTGCTACTTTCAATGGTATTTGTCACTTCATTGTTATCCACTTTGCCGTTTACAAAAGAGATGCTTGAAAGAAACCTGAGAGAGGAACAGATGTGCAAATGTGCACACCAGAATTTGCACGGTGCACGTCAGGTGCGTTGGGGAGCTGTGTTTCAGAACCGGACCCGGGGAATTTTGCCGGCGATTCCAGCTCTAACAGAACGTTTGTGCCGAGAGCACTCAAACACACCGGGTGCGGGTGACGTCACTGCGTTAAGCGTGGAAGATGTTAACGTGAACATGATGTTAACTGTGGAAGAAGATGGCAAGCGTAGGTCCACCGGGATGGATTGCTGGAGGCTGGGCAGTGACCAGCATGGGAAGGAACGTGCCCTCAGGGTGATTGGTTGAGGGCTGACATACATAAACCTTCCCCATCTGGAGCGATACTTTCCCCTGTGATTCTATCCTAAAACGTTGAAGAGTGTGCTCACAGCTGCTGATGGCTCATGCACAGCTGCTGACAGACAAAACCCTCTTACTGGTTTATCCCCAGATGATGTCCGCCTCCTTCCCTCATCCAATGACTGTCACCAAATGATAATTAAAAAGTAAGAAATTATTACTGGTTTGCAGCTTTGTGACAGAATTAGCTCATACCATATCTGACAGAAAGCCGCAAAGGCAAGGGATGAAAAGGCTAAGTCACGCTGTGCCGTGCCACGCGCTCGCACCATTCACCACGTCAGCGTTGGTGGAACCGACACTTTCCACACTTCAGGCATGTGGATGTTGCAAACTTGACTTTCCTCTCTAAAGGCGAGCAGTTTTCCTACTTCTTCACTCCTTATTTCAGAGGACTTTTGCATGCAGCACTTGACCTGAGTGGTCTCTCGCAGCATAAGCTGAACAACAACTAGTCATGTACAGGAGGAAATAGGCTCGTAATGGAGTAAATGAGAACAGTGAAATTGAGACATTTGCAGCTGCTGCAAGCAGATTCTGATGTACATTCCTTAAATTGGAGAAGAGGTGGACACTGTATTAATGGTGATGTCCCTTCATGTCTGGATGATGAAAATTGTGTGCAGCAAGAACATCCAATTTCTTAATCTATGAAACTTTTCTTTTGCTTGTATTTAATGCCTCATTTGTCGGTGTTTATCTATCCTTACTTAGCAGGCATACCTCTGCCTAGCTTCCACCTCTTTCTACAGTACAAGAATTTGGAAATGCTCTGTTTCCTTTGGTGGCATTATATAGATTCAAAAGCGGTTTATTACATCAAAATGTCATATGATTTAAGAGAAGTTGTTAATGTGACAAAATAACCTGCATTATATGTGACACATTTCCTGCATGCTGTTTGAACACAGCATATGTATAAACTACACAGGTACAAATCTCTATGTAAAATTGATATTTTGTGCTTCCTCTGATCAAATAATAGATTTTTATAATTTTTATTCTACACAGAAGAAATGTATACTTCTTTGTGGACGTTTGAGTGTTATTTGTCTTAAGTACTCGCATGGTCTAAATGCCCTTAACATCTCAGCTTCTTACAATTTTTAATAGTAATCCTGAGATGACGTGGACAAGAAAGGATTTTTGTAATGGGTAGTTTTTGTGTGGGAGAATGGATTCTTCTCCAGGTCAAAATAACCTACAATGTTTTCAGACAGGAAATTGACTTCTCCTGAGGCCCAGGCCAAAGTATTACTTTAGATGAGAGAATTTTGGTTTCACAGAAAGAGAAGTAATGGGGCATGGTGTGTGTGAATAGTTCTGAAGACCACACCGGGGCTACATATGGTAGAAAGGTCACAGACTACACTTCAGCTAAAAGTGTACCTTGTTTTGTGTCAAGTTTGGTTTTGATTTTATGACTATGTCAGGAGAGACACTGAAAAAAAAGAAATTGATAAATGAAATTACCAAGAAAACAGTGTTAGCAGAACACGAAAAAAAAAAACAAAAACGTTTTCTTTTGTATGTCTTTGCTAGGTTAATGAATCATTACTAAAAATTTAGTAGGCTCTTTTATGTTTTTGTAATGGATTAGTTTGATTACTTACTGGACTCTATCAAACTATTGTAACATCATTCGTTCAAGTGTTTCATATGACTCTAAAACTGTAATACTAATGTATACTTCAAAATGAATTTCCTTCTTTTCTGCCAAACATAGTAAATTTTTATGCCTGTAGTAAATACAGTTCCATTTCTCTTATTTTCTCATATTTTCCCATTTTCATATAAACTGAACATATCCAGAACAGCTTAGCTGTAGAAATGAAAAAAATAACAGCCCATATATTGAAGCATATGTAGTTTGTTAAGTGAAGAAACTGGGGCACAGAGAAGTAACAGGACTTCTATGAGATGACACATTAAGATGCGCCTGACTGCAGAACAAAGCTCTTGTCTCTCAAGTTTTAGTTTTATGCCCTGAGAGAGTTTTTTTAAGATTACTTCTCAGCAGAAGTTCACCATCAAGTCAAATGCTAAAGCAGGGTTGGCAAGGAAGGAACATAATATTTATAATTATAGGACTAGCTGTGCAACCTAAATTGAGAATTAATTCAAATACTGAATATGTGCTGTTTTCTGTGTCTAGTCACTTGGAAATTCACAATAAAATAATTGTGATTTGGTCCCACCCTGCTTACATTACTTCCATGAATATTCAGTCATACATACCAAAAAACCTTACATTAATATTGCATAGTGTTTATGAAGAAGGAAAAATCTTACTTTTGCAATCATTCGTATCCCTTGAAGGATATCCCTATCACAAACCGATTGCACCTTCAAGTGTGAAAGTTAGGTGGTAGCCATTGATGTATTTTTGTCATTTTTACCCTGAATATCCACCATGAACACTGGTGTAAATATGATATTGATGATTTCTATAAAGATCAACAAGAGCAGATGTGCTTGACCTGTAGAAGTTTCAAGTCCTAAATTTGTCTGACCAGGTAATTGACACATAGATTTTCTGCAAACTGTGAAAACAGCTTCTTCCCTGTTGCCTGTTCCCAAAAAACATTATCTGATGTTTTCCAGAAACATGGTTTGTGGGAAATACGTCTCTTAGAGAGAGAGTTAAAAGCACTATTTAAAAGAAATCCCAGCCAGTGGTGTATGCTCTGTGGAACAAAAACTGTGAATATGAAATGGCTCTGAGACACGACCTAGGGTTCAAGACATGCTTGTGTGTAGGTAGCAACACGTGGTACGTGTAAACAGAAGCATAATCTTCCTATGGATAATCTGTTGGGTCACAGGAATAATTGCAGTGCACTGAGATCTACTAAGCTACACTAACTTCTATAGAAACACACGCTTATTTATTTATAAGTAAGCCACAACCATGATTTACCTCTTGGAAAATCTTGGTGTTCAGCTCTGGCCTGGTGCTGAGGGCTGGAAGCACTACTGTAACAGCTGAGCATGGTCCTTCTGAGCAAGTGGTAAGGTGGGACAGGAAGCTTTTACTGTTGCCTGTGTCCCAGGGTCAAATTAAAGAAGCGTCCTATTGTTTTTTACCAATTCCCCAGAGTGTCTTCTACTCATGTAAATTGCTTCTAAATTAGACATAACATTTGTCTGCTCTGGGTACTTATCTTTTTTTGAAGAACAGTATTTTAATCCTAGCATTTATTATCTGTTTATCCAATGTTTATGGAGAAAACACCACCAAAAAAAGGAAAGTAAAAGACAGAAAACAAATCCTAATTTGATTTTTTTTTTTTGAGTTGTAAGTGTATAGGTAATGGTTTATTAATATTTACTAGTGTCTGTATTGTTGGATACTTGCAGTGCTTTAGAAATCATGAAGTCACTTTCTCTGACAAATGTTCAGCTGACCAGCTAAATAGCTTTGACAAAGTACTTTACATTTTTGCTATGATAAAAATAAATCTTCTTTTGTTTATTTCATATACAAGTGGACTCCCAATTTTTCTCATTCTTTAAAATAATATCTGTCTTATGATTGTACTGATTTGAAGAACTATGATTTGACACAACACATGTAGATATTTCTGAATTATTTCTCTAAAAAATTAGGTATCTGTTTAATACAGGGCCTAAACATGAGAAAAATACACCATTTCTCTAAAAATGCAAATGCCTCTAATTCCTCTGGAATACAACTTCACATTAACAATAGCTTTTTGCTCCTGTTGCCCACAGTGTTCCTACATAATTGTATAATCAAGTCACAACAACAAGTTCTTGTGATTTAAAAATCTCTTCCCTCTGGAAGTTCCCAAACCAAATAAAGACACACTTTTTAAAAACTTGCATATTTCAATAATGTGGGAATATCATAATAAAACAGAATTACTAAGTATATGTTGTCAAATATTTAGCTGTGATATGCATATATTATGCTACACTATATATACTATATAAATACTCTTCTACCTTTTAAATAATTTTCTTTCCATAGCCCTGATTTTCCAGAAATCAACAGTCTTGTCCACCTTTTCATCCTAATTTTGCTCAGGTTGTCACAACTGGTAGGGGGCTTTTGGTGATAGCTGGAAAGTGCCCTCTTGTTGACTTTTAAGTTCATTAGTTAAGGTTTTAATGGTTGTCAGTTTTAATCCTGCAAGCTACTCTTGTGTGTTGATTGACTTAGTTTAAGTACTTAAGATCCATCACTTCACCTTCATATTTTAATGGCTGTAGACACTAGCAGCAAGCAATATGCATGTTGTGTCTTGTATTCAGTTCCTTATACAGAGCAATGTCTTGCAGGATTAATACATGCCTGCAATATAATATTCATTAAGTTAACTTTTGAAAAGATTCTTGGAATCTTTTTTAAAGGAGTAACCTAAAATCTCAAAAACTGATGCTTGCTAAGTTTTTACAAAAAAAAAGAAGGCCTGCTCCACTTGTTTCTAAGTTGTAGATAGGTCTTCACGTTATTGAAAATCAAGACATTTCAGGT